ATCCTAAATTCAGACAACCTGTGGTGTTATCTCTCCTATCAATTTCTGTGGCTAATTTGTGTACGGACGTGGACTTTCAGAGGACTCTGAATATCGATTTTGAATAAAAGGTTCTGCTTAACCTGACTTACAAGATCTCCTTGAGTTCCTGCTGGGGAATATCAATGGACCAGGACCTCACCTCTTAACTCCTTTTTTATGATCTATCTGCTTTTCTCCATGATCTCAGGCCATTTGGGCTGGCTACATAGCCAAACAGGGCATAAATATCTGAAATCTCACAAACAACTATTAAAATAGGAAAAATCAGAGTGAAAAATAAACAACAAAATATGTAAAATCAAATAAAACCCTTGATAGAAACTACCCGATGTCTCAGCTGGCTTTCAGTCTGATTTATTTTATGTAACATTGTAACGTGGTTAGCTATGTAAACAACTAGCCCCAAACTCTTCCTTTGTGCAGGTTTTGTTTGTGTGTTTATTTCTCTGAAAGCTTAAAAAAATGAATCAAATTCATGCTGGTGATCAGGACTGCAAAGGAAAGTCTCAAAGGAAAGACTTGAAAGTGCTAAGAATAAAGAGTCAGAGAAAACAAAATGCAGAGGCAAATTTAGGGAAAATAACATACTTTTAATCTTTACATAACCTTTGATCTAAGGATATCATGAAGACACACCAAGTAAAATAGAAAGTAAAAAACTGGTTGTCTCCAGAAAGAGTTAAATATTCATTTTTGGAGAAGTAGACATCAAATAATGGAAAGGAGGAAAAGGGAGTTTGAGATGTAATTTAAACATTAGATGGGGCCAGTAAAGGACGAAGGAAGAAAGGTCCGAATAACTGAGGTTAGGGGTATGATATTTAGAAATGGAAATGTAGAAGTGAACTGTGGCAAGGATGCTATACAGGCAGATAAGGGTGAGAGGTGAAAGAGAAAAGGGGATGGTTTAGATGAAGATACTAAATGTCAAATTGAGAATCTCAAAAGTACAGATGAGAAGGGACCGCTGGCAGAAGGAAAAAATGGAGACACCTGAAAGGAGAGAAAATTTACATGCTTTATTACCAATTCTCTCAGACATCCTGGGCGACTGCCAGAAAAAGCACCGCTCACCCTCCTCTACAAAAAGAAAAGACAAAAAGAAATACTGATGTACTAAATGTTCTTGGCTAAATGAAGCAAGGATTTGGGAAGACTGCTAAATACAGCAATGGAGAAATTAGGGCTTGAAATCACGAGCATGTGTACCAAGAGGTACCAGCTGATACATGAGACGATTCAAAAATACCACCTGCAAAAGATAATATTAGAAATAGGGAGACTAAGGAGAAAAGCAGCTTGCCAGAAGGTTGTGCCAACAGTCCTAACATTAACACTGAAATTAGCAGGATATCAATGAATATAAAATGATAGAAGGCAAAGGATGAAAAAGGGTGGAAGAGGAAAGAAATACAATTTGGAATAGCAAAATATCGTATTGCACCATTTATACAGCTTAGAAGTATGAGGCACAGACACTGCTATAAGAAAAGCAGAAGTTTCAGTACGTTGTCTCCTTGTATGCATGATAAAGTGGCAGCCCCACAGCACACGTCTCAAGAGAAGTGGGTGACTTCAGGTGGGAAATCTAGCAACTAGTTATCGCACGTGGGAGCAATCCTTCTCAAATAGTGAGTGTTCTGCAAGAACTCCTCCAGGGAGTAGAGCTTGTCAGCTTTCTACTCAGCAGGGGCCAGGAGAGCTGAGCCCTCTTACACCTTCCTGGGATGTCTCTATCGGCAATCCCGGGTCCCGCAGAGTTTTCAAGCAGCCGATCAATATATTATGAATGGTGTTTCGTTTGGCATTTGGGGTGAGGTTGCACCATCGCACCGGACCAGAACCTTCTCAGAGAGATGGTTATAACCCAGCGCTCGCAGGGCCACACCAAGCAACACCAACGCAGAAGTGGAGGCTGCAAACCAGCTCTGGAGCTCACCTCCCCCTGCGACGGGGCCCGCGAGCCGCGTGCAGGCCGACAATTCCCACGGATTGTAGCGACACGTGCGGTGAGGGGATTGACCTGTTCCCCTCGGTGCTGTTCACACACAAGGCCGCAAAGTTGCACCAGGGGTAAGATGGCATGAAAGCTTAGGCAGAACACGGCTTTCAGCTGAAACACAGTAAAGGCATTTTTAAAATTGTTGTAAATATGGCATCTTCTCACTCAGCAGAACTGGTGATTCAGTGCGGTATTCCATCACTTCACTGATCACAGTAATTTGTAATTTACACTTTTCCATTTCGCTCAAGTAGCAGAGGTGACACTGCTATGAAAAAGTTAGCAACGCTACTGGTTTTCCCACATTGCCTTAACCCAGAAGTTGTATGGTTTCAACTAGACCAATGCAGTTAAACTGCTACAGTTGTAAGAGAGAAAATACATCTATGCTGGCTCACAGTCAGTTTTCCACCCACCGACACCCCCAGGTCCCTTCTCCTTGGGGCTGCTCTCCAGCCACCCCTCTCCCAGCCTGGATTTGTGCTTGGGATTGCCCCCACCCCTGGGCAGGACCTCGCCCTTGGCCTTGTTGAACTCCATGAGGTTCGCACAGCCCCCCCTCTCCAGCCTGTCCCGGCCCCTCTGGATGCCATCCCTGCCCTCCCGCCTGTCGGCCGCACCGCACAGCTCGGGCTCGTCGGCAAACTTGCTGAGGGTGCTTTCAATTATATCAAACATACTTTCCAAATATTTTCTTCTATTTTGGCCTTATTTGGAAGTCAGTTATATTTTTAAAACTTCATATTTTCATTTTACACATCTGTAAGTCACTCTGAGTAACTGAAAGTGACTGACTTGACGCCAAAGCACGTAATTATTATCTAACCATAGCATAAAGTAGAAAAGCCTACAGGAAAAAGCACATAGTTGTCCAAACTCATATCTGAAGTATTAAAGCAAGTGACAGCCTTAGTAACCTGCCTTTTGTAGAAAAGGTTCTTCTTTTTAAATGTGGTGCATTCTAAAGCAATATTCTTCCTCTCCCTCCAAAAGATCTCACCCCAGACATAAAAAGCTGGTGTCCTGGTGGTTCACCGAGACAATGCAAAAAAATCTCTAGCTCAAGCTGTGTACACAGGCTAAAATGACAAACATTTACATAGCATACCATTTCCCTTTTCACTGCTAGCATTTCGGATCTGAGGAGTCTGCATTTCCCCACGAACAAACACCTGAAATAGCAACAAGCTTCAAAATGGATTTCACATTCTCTGCTTGACTATAAATGTAACCAAAATCCAAGTGAAAAGAAATATTTGGGATCCTAAATGATTTTGAAAGCTACCATGTTAGAATATAAAGCGTCTGACCTAAAAAAACCAGTTTCAGTGATTGCATTTTCGCATAGTTTCTCAGAATAAACTAGGAGGCTAGGAAAAAGTCATATATTCTCTAAAGATACAGGATTTTGATGCATTGTATGTTTTTTAAAGCAAGTTCTGCAGTTGGCCTTCAAAGTCCAGGCCAAATTAGTAAATCCTTCCTGTTGTTTTCATGAGGGAGTACGACAGCACTCAATACTTTACTTTATTAGCAGCTAATGATGTTATTTCCTATCTCCTGATATTCTAAGCCCCATCTTGCAAAGATTACACTTCTTGTAGAGCGAACCCTTGCTTAACCAAGATTTTCTGCTTGCTTATGCAATCTTTCTCACTCAGATCCAACACCTTCACATTCAGAAATCTCTTAGAAGGAAACAGAGAGTCTCTCTATCTCGATCCCGGGCCAATGAAGTCCATGCGGAGTTGAATCTTAAAGAATACACACATTTATTATATGGATAATAGAAACTTCTTCCTAAACAGGAGAAGCTGTTGCAAAGAAAACCATAGATTTTAAATCAAAAGATTACTATAGGAAAATTATCCATAAACCCCTGTGGGATTTATATTAATTTCATATGGGCTTAGCCAAAATAAAAAGTAATTTTCATAAGCTTGTTGTAAAGTATTTAAGCAAGCAAAATATGTTGATTTATTTGACACAGATTCCAAATTCAAAAGACTTTGGATCTGAATTAAAATAATAAATAGTTAAAAGAGAGAATGCAGGGGGGTACCTCTTTCACAGAACCTATAAATCTCTGTGGGGGACTTTACTGGAATTTCAACATAATTTTATTATTTAATCAGAATATCATTTGGTTGGAATTGACATCAGATATTGCATAATGAGAAACCAGAAGTTTGTAGGGTTTTTTGTAGGGGTTCTAGTAAAACGCTCACACAGTTTAGCCACAGGCATTTTCTCACCATTCCCCCCCCTCCCCAATATTTTCACTGTCTTCCAAAAATTTGCTGCAGTTTCTGAAATGCTTTTACAAATGTATAAACTGTCCTCCACCAGAAAGAACAGTAAACAAAGCTTTAGCCAAACTGATTATTGAAAACTGAAGATTCAAATAAGCAAGAGATTGTTTCTCATGGTTACAGGCACCATAAGAGATTCTTTATTACACAGGTTTCCTAAAGGGCTTCCATAAAATATTTTCTTTCTTCTTCCTCTAAATTAGAAAAAATATTATCTCTAACTTCCGAAAAAGTTAAAATTGATAGATATTGGAAATATTTAAATCAGGTTTTGAAAAAAGTCACAGGCAGTATGTCTCCTATAATGGAGATCTTCAGCTCTGGTATGATTACACTGCTTGAAATGCACACTTGAAGACGTGTAAATGTACTGTGATTTACTCAACTTCACACTGCATTCATGCAAACAGCACCCCTGTTAATAGTATTTACAATAGTAAACCACATGGGTGCATTGAGTCCTACAGCAAAGCCTTCTTCGAGTACAGTAAATAAAAGAAGAGTTCCATAAGGTTTTGAGTGCAGATACGGGGTAAACTTTTTTTTTTCCCCCTGTATTTACTGTAGAAATACATGGAATCGCACAGAAGAACCTACATCAAATCCAAACAGCAAAAAGGATGAAAAGGAGAGAATGATCTTCCTTTTTGACCTTTTGAAAGACCAAGTAGAGGTTTATTTGTCTTTTGACTCTCAGATAAATGATTATGCCATTTGTGTATCCACACATGAGCAGCTTTAAGAAAACAAAACATATCCAAAGCCACTAGCTTTCTGCAATTCATCATCTGCTGCAAGAATAAACTATGGCCAGAATTCCTGAACAAGGGCAAACCCCCCACTTATTTAAAAACCCCCTTAGTTGTCAGAACTTAAGCATGCATTTTCTGTGTTATTCATTTTTTTGTTTCAGTATCAAATGCACAAAGCTGATAAATATTTACTGTTCCTCTGTCAACGATACCAAAGACACCAGTGAAATTATCAATGTGAAGAAGTGCTAATCTCTTTCTGAAGAAAGAATTCCAAGTGGGCACCAGTTCATCCCGAGTGCATGGAACTGATTAAAGAATTGCTTTTGCCTCAGCTGTACTTACTACAGTTACCATTTTAAAGGTTCAACTTATTTCTTCTCTTCACCCCAAATGTTATGCTCTCTCCTCCTGATTTTGTGGAAGACTTCAGTTCACAGCCCTTTGTCATGATTTCAAATTTCTTTCATTATGTACATCTAGGCACCTGAGCAAGACACACCAGAGAACATTGTAGCAACACTTGTTATTAAACTGCATATTTTTGTTTACTTACATAATTCCTTTTTTTTTTTTTTCAATTACACGCTTTCACACTTTGCTAAAATACTTATTTACATGCTACATGTTGAATAAAATTCTCCAGGTCAGCGAAGGAATCATGAAGAGAATCATTTGTGTCTTGACTTCTGAGAAACGTTCGAAGGGTATCTAAAGCACTCAAAGCCTCATTTTTTGATGGTAAAGGCTGTTCAGCTCCCTGAAATCGATCACCTTCCTCCTCATCTTCATCACCAACAAGTGTACCAACTTTATCTGGTGAGCTTTCTTTGGCACACATTCTTTCATTATTTGTGTGCATTTCGTAAGTTACCAAGCCATCATCTATAGCTGCGTATTCCTCCAAAGATAAACCTTCTGGAAACTCCACTCCCGCTGCCTGTGCGTGTGCGATCAAATCAAAATCACGTTCAACCTCTGTGTCATTACCATTTGCCTTGGTTTCTAATTTGAATCCTGCTTCATTGTAGTTTTTTACAATAGTCTCTGGTGTTACTTCCCTCCAGCACAGGTACAACATCTCAATTGCATCGAGAAGAGTCAGCATAAACTCTTTATGACCTTCTATGCAGTCAACAAATCTCTTGATAAGGCAGTGCCTGTATTTAACCTTCAGACTTCTGATAACCCCGTGTTTCATAGCTACACATGAAGAAGAGTCTGGAGAAGAGAACACTAATTTGACAGACTTCAGGTTCTTTACTTCTGTGTGAGCTGGGAGAGAATCGACAAGAATAACTACTTGTCGCTGCTGCGCTTGAAATCGGTCATCAAGTTTGTGCATCCACTGTTCAAACATTTCTGCAGTCATCCATGCCATGTTATTTGCTTCATAATCCACAGGTAGGGACTTCACGTCTTTGAAAGAGCATGGACTTTCTTTTTTTCCTATAACAAGCAAAGGAAGTTTCTCGGAACCATCCATATTTGTTCCTGCCACTATGGTTATTCTCTCTTTGCTTAGTTTACCTACAGAACAAGTTTCCCCTTTAAATGCAAATGCATTATGTGGTAACATCTGATACAACAATCCAGTCTCCTGTATATAAAACACGTTTTTGGGCTGATAATCATTTAAATAAGGAAGAACATTTTGGTACCAAAGAGTTGGAGCATCCGCTGTAGAAGTAGCAGCTGCTTCTACAGGCTGAGCTCTGAAAACTAACCCATGCCTTGACTTAAATCGATCGAGCCAGCCATTACTGCATTTAAAATCACTGTGCCCAAGCTTCTGGGCAAAATCGTTAGCCTTGAGGCGCAACATCGGGCCGTTGACCGGCACATTCAAGCCCTGAGCGATGCTGCACCACTTCATGAGTGCCTCCTCCAGGTCGGTGTAAAAAGCCGTCCTCAGTCTCTTTCTTTTCGGATCAAATCGTAAAGATTCGCAGGCTTCCAGAACTTTTTCTTTATTCTTCATGATCGAAGACAAGGAATTCTTCTTTATGCCATACTTGGCTGCGACGTCCGCCTTTTTCTTCCCACTCTCCACAGCGCTAATGATGTCAATTTTTTCCTCAAGGGATATGCTTTTTTTCCTCCTCACGACGGGTTGGGGCCGAGGACTCCCCGAACTCTCTGCCATGGTGCGTGGCGCCGGCTCCCACCCGCGGCCGGGCACGCTCCGCTCCGCCTCGCGCCGTGGAGCGAGGCGGGGTTTTCCCGACCTCACGCTCCGCTCTGGGCCCCGCCGCCCACCCCGGGGCTGGCGAGGGCGGGCGGACGCAGCCGCCATCCCCGCCGTGACCACCCTCCCACGCCCCCCGGGGCTCTCCGTGGCCTCCCCTGAGAGGACACGCCACCCCCCCGCCCCCCCCGGCCTCTGGGCGCCATTACGATCCCGGCGCGGGCGGGGGAGGAGCGGCGGCCCCGGCTCCGGTTGCTATGGCTACGGCCCGGCGGGGCAGCGACCATAGACAGGCGCGCCGCAGCCTAGAGAGGCCGCTGCCCGCCGCGGCCGCCGTCAGGCACCTTTCCGGCCAAGCACTTCCGGCTCCTGCTGGTACCGGAGAAGGAAGAAAATAAAGCCGGAGAGGGCGCACCGGTGCCGCCGCCCCGCCCGCCTTCCTCCTTCCCCCCCCCCTCCCCCTCACCTCGGCACGACGCCCCCGGGGCCGCAGCGGCGCCGCCGGCAGGTGAGGGACGTGGCCGAGGCCGGGACAGGCCGTTGGGTCCCGGGTTGGGGGCGGGGGGGGGAGGGCCGGTCCGCACCGCGCCTCCCGCTCCGGCCCGTTCTACGCGTCGCACCACGGGAGCGGCCTCCGCTTCCCCGGTAGCCCGTGGAGAGGTGCGGGCAGCGGGTGGCCGGGCCTGTCGCCGGCTGAGGGAGGGGGGTGCGAGGACCCCGCAGCCGGTAGCGGGTTCCATCCCCCCCCCCGCCCGGGGGCTGCCCCTGCCCGCCGGCCCGGGCACCGGCGGCTGGAGCGGGCGTCCTTGCCCTAGGGGTTGGGTTTGGGGTGCCCCCCTCTCCTCGGCTGGCGGCGGGGCTCACGGCGGGGTCCCCACTGCGGGGTGCTGCGGGCACCCGGAGAGGGTGGGCAGGACCAGAGCTTGGCGGGAGGTTGGTTTCACGAGGGAGAAAGAGCACCTCTTTGTTGACGGAGGAAGAAAACTCTAGATGCTGGCATAAATTTCATGCCCCTGGGACTTCTCCCACGCCCTGACAATTACGGTTCTAAGTGTTCCAATTTGTTTGTTTGTGTTTTTTTTTTTGTTTTGTTTTTGTTTTGTTTTTATGCAGCTGGCTCACTGTTCTTAAAACATGGGAACACTGTGGTGTTGTGTGACGAGCAGGTGTTGCATCGTTTACAAAGTAGAAGCAATTCTAGTGTTGCTTATAGAACCTTGCTGACCTATAACTCTTAACTGAACCCCCCCCACCCCCCCCCCCCTCCTTACAGCCTTTCACCTCGCATCCCCTGAACTGGATGTAGTTTCAGTGTCTAATGTGTGCTCTTTATGCTTGGTGGAACTGGTAACAAGACGTTAGCACTTGCAGTCAGTGGCTTTGTTATCTTAAGTGTTGTTTCTCAAGAAAAGATAACAGAAGTGTTCTTTTGCAGGGTTGGAGAAGGATGTCATTTGGTCAATGCAACTCCAAAACTAAATGGTTGTCTGATTCATATATATGTTTATGTATAGGTGTATGTACACATACTATTAAAATGTGAGGCATAAGTAATACAGAAGGCCATGAGACTGGAAAAATTGGAACCTGAGGCAATACTTTGATCAGCTGCTTCTTTCTCTTTAGGTGGAAGTCGAGACCATAATGGGAGCCCATACTTAAGCCAGTCTGGAGGCCAGCAGCGTGTTGAAGTGCTTAGGGGCAGGTTGACCTAGAGTAGGGAGTGTGGAAGTTAGTGGCAGCCCTTTTCTCCAGGCCTTATCTCCATCTATGTCTTGTAACTTTCAAGCATAATTAGATCTTGCAAGTGGAGCAGCCAGGGAATTCAAGAGCATGTAGAGGAACTGTGGTGTGCTTGCAGAAGAAAGTGTTTAACACATTTCTTAAAGTCATTTTAAAAAGCAATTGGTCTTGACAAGAGTTATTGATAGTGCTCTTAGTTAGAGAATTAGGAAAGTATGCATTAAATCATTATTTTTTACTACCACTTGCGTTTTCTGCACTGTTACAAAAACTGTTGCGTATCTATGCAGTGGAATAATAATACACAATAAAAGTGTGTAATAAAGTGTATTTGGACATAAGATATCTTGTGTTTACCTTGCTGGCAGTTAACTTAAGAGAAAAACTTAAGTGAAGGAGCCAGTGCATCCTGCTTAGAAAAGCACATTTAATTGTTGAGAATCCCATGGCTCTTGTTTCAGAGACCACAAGTCATTTACTTAAGTAATGAAACTGTTAAACTCCTGTTCAAAATGAATTTATTGTGCATGACATTGAATTAACATTTGCATGAGTAAGCAAATATGAATTTGCCTTTCTTATGAAAAGTCCATAACCATGCTCTTATAACCACTAATTATAATTGGTTAAATATCTCTGAAGTCTTCAACCTAGAAGTTTAGTATGTTGTTTATAAGTTTTTGCTTTGCTGTGCTTTTTACTTTGCCATTTGAAGAAATGATATATAAATCTCTAGGACTTAAAAATTGTGTGGTTTTATTTATGGTGACCAGAACTTAAAATGACTGAGGTTGTAAACTGGTATGCATTTAAGGTGGCTTTGCCATGGAGGGAAGATTCGCAGGCTGTTGTCTCCTCTGTTCTACTCTGGTGCAGTATTTGGGTGGATTCACAGAATTGGGCTAGCGGGGAAAAAAATCAAAAACCCAGAGGGACAGGGTTTAGATCTTAAATTCACATCAGAATATGGATCAGGTTTTTTTTTTTTTTTCCAGGTAGAACATCCAGGTAGAGTTGTATTTGCAGATGATGGTAACACATGTCCTGGTACACTGAGCAGTCACTTAGCATGTTCTAAAGTTGTGGCTGCTTTAGTGAAAAAATAATTGATAATGCAGAACTCATACTGTGCTGAAGATTAGCAGACTTATAAAGAACAGTCCTTTACCTGACACCTTCATGAGAGAATCAGGAACTACTGAGTGATAAAAGTTTGTATGCATTTCTGTAGTGGAGCCATAAATATAAGTAATATACATATGTAGATTCCACATTTGCCACAATGTCACATGAACATCTTAACTTCTGAATCTTTGTAAGCATGTAGAAAGTTGTCACCCTGACATCTAGCATTTGATGTTCACATCCCTATTTTTTTGATATAGAGGCAGTCATCAGGGAATTCTGTAGTTAAACTAGAATGTGCAGTTAAACTTTTTACAAAACCCATCTTTAATCTACAGTTTCCCCCTTCTCGTATTTTAAAGTTGGTCAGTGTGATCCTGCAGAGCTGTGTTGGAAGTGCTGATACTGCTTGCAGGAAAATAATACTATACAAAAAATTGGTGTGTGGGAGATTGCAACACAAATGGTGAATTAATTTGGATCTTAAGAAAGTAATTATTTATCTTTACACAGTGTCCTCTACATGGGTTTCTGATGTGCTTCATGTCTCAGGTTATTAAGAGTTCTTAAGGCTATCAAGAAAATATTTTTGCTGCCTATAGCATTTAATGCTTTTAAACAGCGTTACCATGGTATTTAATTTTGTATGTGAGGTACAAATATAACTCTAGGATCACTAATGTGATCCTAAAACTGAGGTACAGATTCTCTTAACCAGGACTGCACTACAAGATTAATTTAGCTTTTTGTTTAACCAGCAGAGCAAAGTAATCACACTTACTCTTTTAGACCATAATGGCCATTTTCTATCTACTCAGAAATAAACTGTTAAGCATGGAGGTTGTTTTCAACCACAAGCAGAGTTTGGGCAGGACTGTGTGGAAAAACAGCACCTCTGCTGGATCGTCTTTTGTATTCAAAAGAATTACAGAAAGTTAGGAAAGATAAATGCAGAAGTTATACCTTCTTAATTACTTCAAAAATAATTTTGTACTGGTTGGAGAAAAATCCAACTTCATTCAGTGATAGCCCTGAATGAATTGTTTTTCTGGAGAAAAATCTTTTTTTTTACGTGTTTGGTTTTCCAAAGTAAAGTAATAGGTTATCCAGTGTAATGTGATCCAGATGATTCAGTTTCTCAGCCTTTGTGTCCTTATTTTATTTCCCTTGTCATGTGAGCTGCTTACCTTATTAATTATTTGCTTTTTAATTAAAATGTTTTATAGCTTAGGAAATTCAAATACAATATAAATAAAAACAGTGATCTCTTATAATTTTTTTTTTTTAACTCTGGTATGTGGCTGAACATGTGTAAAATTGTGCAAGGCTTAATGAACTGAAGTCATGTGTGATTATACTCAATACTGACAGACTCTTTAATTTTTAATGATTGGTTGTCTCCTCTCAAACAGCTCAGAGAATTGCAGTATCATCTGTAGTTACCAGCTATTTGAAATAAATTTTAGATACTTATTTAAGCTATATTAGGTATGTAACTTACCTTTCATGATCACTATACTCACAGAGTTAATTTCTTGTGCATATGTTCAGTGTGACTGACTTTCTTTACCTCTGTAGGTGAGATTTTTTTTGAGAATAAAAGGAAAGGGATTCTATTTCTAGTTAGGCATAACAAACTGAACAGCTTAGTAGGTTCCAGTGGTTTAGCATCAATATAAACTTGCAATGTCTGTATAAATCTCACATTTTAACAAAACTGTGACCTTTGCAATGGTAGGATACAGTCGGTGTTGTTGCAGGTGACAGTAAATATCAGCTGAAAATCTGGGGAAGTCAAACAAGGTTATGTGTTGCAAGTTTAGCTGTCTGTGCAGACAAGCCTGTGCTAGACTGTGTTCCTAGTTTTGCTTAGATTCTGGAGAGCTAAAGACCTGGTACCATCAAAAGAGGGAGGTTTCTCTTTGCTTTAGCAGAACTTGTAAAACAAATGTTTCCTGAAAGCCTACTTCAGTTTCTGTAAGGTGGAACATCCAGCTCCTTTCATATCAATTAATGCATGCCAAACCTATTTCATTTTCAGGTATGTCAGAACACAGCAATGAATCCACAACACTTGATGAATCTCATCCAGCTGCAGAAGAGGTCCAGTCTGACTCTGAGGTGATTGGGTGATAGATATATTAGTACAATCAACCAATCCCAGCAACAGTTTCAGACTGCCAAAAATTCTGATACACATAGCACAGTGAAGGTAGTATGGGGATACAAGTTCATGCACATTATCTTGAATGGGTGGGGTTGCTTTTGAGACTCTATTAAGAACAATCCAGTTAATTCATAGCAAAGGATTACTTCAGCCAGTAGTCTGTTGCTGTGCTGCAGTGTTTGTTTTGTAAGTTGAATAAATTTAGGCGTGGTGGAGTCTGAAATGTGTAAGTCCTGCAGGAAGAAAGGGTTGGTATTTAAAAGGCAGCAACCTTTGCGTAACCTCACTATAACAGTGCATTCTATCTGCTGCTGGAGTGGTAGATCTTTTTTTCTTGGGAGCAGATACAGCTTGTACCCTCTTTG